CTCCCTTACCTGCTACAGGCTTCCCACGACTCAAATGTTCGCGGGAAGCAGGGGAGGGGGCGGAGACTTTGGGAGGGGGCGGGATTGGGGCGGGGGGGGCGTGGGCGGGGTTGGGGGCGGGGCCAGGGCTCAATATGCAAACAGATTTACATTGTGAGACACAAGATACGCACATGGCCAGCCAGTGAGATACACATCTATTACCCTTTGCTGGAAAGGAACCTGTCCAAGACAGCTCACCTCCTGGTTACCTGCCTTAACAACAACATTTTCAGTACATAACTCCTTAAATGTTATCGGTACATTCATTTCACAATGTTTATGATGACTGGCTTTAAGCAGAGCTCTCACCCTTTAGTGAATTATTATACATATATCTAACTCTAAGCACCCATTGTGCCCTCTGCCAGTTGACACAATGAGGTTCCTGGGTCACAACCAGGAACAGGGCACAATTCTGCAGATTTTATTCAGGAGATCTTAACATTCGCCAAAAGCGAATCTCATCCCAAAACCACAGAGGTTATGCTGGAAGAATTGCTACCTGTGTTCACACTTTAAGTTTGTTCATGTGCTGGTCTAGTGGTAGTTTTGCCTGAGTAATATTGGCAGGATAAGGCCCCTAGTACAGTATATAAAGTAGCTGGATAACCTACTTGGAAGTGAACTAGGGAAAAAACACATATTCTAAAAAAGAAATGCAGAAGAAGAGATAATTGATGAAATTATGGTTGTACATGTGCTATTATTAACTGGAAGGACAACCAAATCTAATTCAACAGCAATAACAATTCTTTATTGTTACAATACCCTCTGCTTGAAGGCCTCTGGGTACTAATCAAGCATAAAATTAAAATAAAATCTTAAAGATAAAAGGCTTGGAATCACATAATCAATAATAACTTGAGGCCCAATCCTGCAAGTATTAGGCAAGGAAATAATTTTACTCAGATAAGCAGCACTATTGAATTCAGAAGGACTACTCATGGGAGTAAAGGTACTAAAGGTGTTTATGGGTGAAATACTGCCCTAGCTGGATTGCAAATCTCCCACGGACTTCATTGGGGCCAGGATTTCACCTTAAGCCTCTACAGGATTAGAGATGTACAAATATACAATAAACAAGCTGACTTCTCTCATCTCTTCATTGTCATTATTATTTGTTTTATTATCTGTTTTACATTGGCTACAACCGAGATCAGGCCCCACTGTGCTAGATATGCACAAGCCACAAACACATGGAATTTGAACCAGTCCTAGCTCTGAAGAGTTCCTACAATCTAGATAGACTAATAGAACAAATAGTGGCAAAAAGGGATTCAACATAGAAAGCAGCACTCATTAAGCAGGTGGCTCCATCCTGTTAACTTCTTCCCAGCTTTCACTGATAGTCCCAGGTAGAGTTTGTTGCAGTAGTCTAGCACATAGGTTACAAAGGTGTGGATGAAACAAGAAGAGCCTCTAGTCTCTTTGCCACTAGAGATGAAAGTCTCTTGGACATTTGAGGTACATCTGCACTGCAAAAACAATAATAAAAAAAACAACACAGCAGCAAGTCTCAGAAGCTGGGTCTACAAACTCAGGCTCACCCTTCAGTGCTAAAAATAACAGTGTGGACATTCTCGCTCATGCTGGAGCTCAGGGTCTGAGCCACGTGCCTTCCACTGAGTTTCAGAGCCGAAGTGGGACTGTCTACATGGCTATTGTTAGCACCATAGCATCAGCCCCACAAGTCCGAGTCTGTAGACCTGGGTTCTAAGACTTGCTGTTGTGGGTTTTTTGTTTGAGGGGTTTTTTTGTTTTTTTTTGGGTAGTGTAGACATACCCATAGAGAACAGAAGTCTAGTGCAGGTGTTACTTAATGTAAGCAACATGTCTCGCATATAAATTGTGTGTGTTTTTAAAAGGACTTTTGTTGGTAAGGCAGTACCAACTAATGACAAAGGTAGATTGAACGTGTCATGAACATGATGCATTTTTGGCCATGAGCTTACAGGAAATCTAAATGGTTGTAAATAACTTTGTTCAAATGCCCTGAGGTTTTTAATGGAGAATGAAAATGATAAGGGTCATATATTAGTATTTTACTGACTACAAGCCAAAAATTCAACATACCGATGGGTGAAAAGGAGAACGCATCCTTCTGTCCAGGGAAAGAGATTTTGGACCTTTCCATTTCCAAAATAATGAATAGAATGAATGGGTTTGGGGTTTTTGTGAATTGCGGCTTGTGCTCGTGACTTCATATTTTCTGCAAAAGTATCAAAAAGAAACATTTTTTTTGGTGGGGAAGGTTTTCTTTCAAACATTCTCATGGAACTTTTCCAGTTTTCCAACAGATAAAAGGACCATTTCAGAAGAAAAAATAAAAATGTCCCATAATTTTTTTAAAGGTCATTTTAAAGGTCAAAAAAAAAAAAGTTAGACCACATCCAATTAACATAATAGTGGGGTTATCAAATGGTTAAGACCTCTGTTTTAAGTCTCTCCCCTCCCCCTACCCCAAAAAAGCCTCTCCCAGCAGCACAGTGCCACCTAACACCATGTTGTAAGGTACTCTTCCCTTACCTGTTCTTTTCCGGAGAATCACGCCACTATTCTTAAAAGATTTTTGTTGCTGTTGGTTGCCACGTTTCCTCCCTTATTAAATCATTCACCATGTAATTTACATCATATTACTTAATTAAGGGGAAATTGTTTTGCTGGGGAGTCTGTTGGAGGATGAACGGAATCAATCAACTTTCTTAAAAGACTAGAATCTCCATAAAAAACCATTCACTTCCAAGCTTACTTCTGCAGAAACAATAAAATGAATGCTATAATATACTACCTGGAAAATGTGATGCTGCCGTGCATTTTAAATGCTTATGACAGGTATATTGTAAATATTTATGACGGATATATTATATATTTTTCATATCTCTGGTTAGAAACTAAAAGGTGTCTAACTTAATAAGCATCAAGTGCTTGAATTTGGGGCTGGGGTACTAACAGGCGGCTGTACCATGCCACCATTTTCACGGCTCTCAGCTAATGAAAGGAAAAAGGAGGCAGAGAAAAAGTTGTCAGGCCACCACTTCTATTGTCATCACTTTGCCCTCTAGCTTCCCCTCCCAGTTCAGGCACTGCTAATAGGAGTTATGTGTGTGCATATCGACAGAATAAAAAGACATCTTCTGCACACAAGTATAAAGTCAACTGCTGTGTCTACTGCAGTCCACCCATCATACTGGAGAAGCTGAACCTAATTAATTTAAACCTGGCCCACCTTGTTTTATTATAAGTAATAAGAATAATTTGTTTCTGTAGCACCAAGAGTCTGCTATGGCTATTGTCTTCAGTGGTACTTAGTAGCTTGCAGGATCAGTATAATAGTTATAATTTACAGATAAGGGATGGGGAATTGGGAATGACGACAAACAAAGTGACAGAGCAGCAGTTCTTGACATTTTTCATACCAGGACCTCCCACCCAGGTAGCCAGGATCTCACTCACACCACGTCCTTCCCATTTAGCAATATGGGAAGGGCAGGATGGTCATTGACCCCCTGATATTTGTTTGTGCCCTCTAGCTTAAGAATTCCTGGGCTAAAGTACTAAAGTTAACCCCTGTCTGGTTGGTTCCTTGATTTTAGTTTATATTTATTATAATTGGTTTATATTATTATTATTATTATTAATTATTATTTTCTATTTTAAAATAAACTGATGTACCCTCAAACAAATGTCTGACCCACTATTCTCAAAACAAAGGAATGAGCTGATTGTAACTGTAGCGGGGTGGCTACCCCGTTCCTGCCCTGAGGGGTTTAAAATAGCCCTGGAGGAGGGCTGCAGCTCTAAAAGCTGGGCTGATTGGGGGAAGTGGCTGCAGCTGGGGCCACGCCCCAATCAGAGCCCAGCTGGCCCTCTAAAGGCCAGGGCAGCCAGAAACTCTGACTCTCTCTTTACCTTCAGAGAGAGAAGGGCCTGGCTACAGCAAGCTAGAGATAGGGTACCTGAGTGGAGCAGGGCTGGGGAGCTCCAGCCTGGAAAGCCCCAGGCTGTGGCCTAGTGGAAGGCCAAGGGGTACTGGGGGTTGCAGAGGGCAGCCCAAGGCTAGGCCAAGGCAACAGGTCCAAATCCCCCTTGCCAGTGCTGAGTGGCCTATACTGCAGTCTGCCCAGTGAGCGGGGGCTAGTTGGTGACTGGCAGTAGCCTAGTGCTGAGGCAAGGTGGGGATAATGGGTGGGGGTTCCCCAGGGAGGGGAGACCCAGATCTGTGGGGTACTGCTGGGGGGCAGCATCCCAGTAATAGAGGCACTGGGTCCTGGGAGGGACACAGGTGCCAGCAGAGGACAAGGCGGATCACCAGCCTGCAAAGGGCGCTCCAGAGGCTGGTGAGCTAATTCCCTGGATGACCAGTAGGAGGTGCTGCAGGGGTGAGTCTGGACCCTCTTACAGTAACACACAGCAATGATGATTTTGTGTGAGTATGTGTATGTGTAAGTAAGAGTGCTGATGTCCATAACAGCAGCCTCCACAAGGGGCTTCACGACTCTACCTTATCATCATCATATGGCCTCATATCATAGGCTTTATTTTTTTGAGTGTTTGCCTTACCCTGTAAAACATTTCTCCCAGGCATGTAAGAGGTTTTCTTTTTTTCCTGGCTTCCAGAAATTTAACTCCAGTGGTAGACAATGTGGTTAATGCCACAGAAAACAAGATTTGTATGGCCTAAAGACAAGCAGCAACTGCGACGGTCACTTGGTTTCTACGCTGAAGAGAATAAAAACATAAAAAGGGAAGGTTGAGTGAGGCTTCATTACCCACTAATACCTCACAGCAATTTTTTTCTTTGATAAATTAGCTCTAGACAAGCACTTGACTATCAGCATGGAATTTTATTCTGTAGCTCCTATACAGGAGAGTTGCCTGATATCTCAGCTAAGTACTGTATGTAGTACAAAGAGCAGAATATACTGAAAACAGATTCTGCTGGATTAAACTCTGTTTGCTTTGTGTAGAGCAGATTCAAAGCAAATAATGACAGTTAATTTTTTTTTAAATCTTCAGGGCAAGAGTAACATCTCGTGGGTTTATTGCTTAAAAAGAATTGTCATCCACTTGTCACAGCTGATCCTCATTTTTAAAGACCGTAAGATGTCACAATAACCCCTCATAACAAATGTTGCTGGGAAAAGGTATGAAAGGGAGGCAGAAGGACTGAATTAGTCCAAACAAAAGAGCCTCCTGTTACAATTCAAAGCCTGTTTTAAGATCATGCTTGGTAAACAAGAACAGTGTGAGACCAGACATTGGTGAACCAACATTGGTGTCAGAACCTAGACCTAACTGGTGGACAAAATGAGGAGTGGATGAGCTATTCCACCTATAACTCCCTTTTGGGATCCTTAAAGAAAGGAACTTTGGGAGAAAAAATTGTCTGCTGTACCTAACTTCACCATCATAGCTGCCACCCTGTGGCGGTCCATGCCCCTAGGGTCAGGGCCACGTGGCTTATCGGTCACAGTCTGTGAAGCAGCCCTTCAGTGCAGGGCAGCGTGGCCTAGCGGCCAGAGTCTACAGCACCACCCTTGGGTGCAGCGCAGGACAGCGTGGCCTAGCAGCCAGAGTCTACAAAGCAGCCCTTCAGCACAGGGCAGGGTGGCCTAGCAGCCAGAGTCTACAGCACCGCCCTGGGGTGCAGGGCAGTGTGGCCTAGTGGCCAGAATCTACAAAGCGGCCCTTTGGCGTAGGGCAGTCTGGCCTAATGGCCAGAGTCTGTAGCATTGGGGCGCCCCTTATGGGGTGTGGCAGCCCTGGTAGGGGGGCCCAGGCCCACCTGACTCCACCGGGCCCCGACCCAGGGCCCTAACAGTGGCATAGCAGCTTGCCACTGACTCAGCGGGGGGGTCCTACCGAAACATGCTGAGTTTCCCCGGGCAGGAGGTACCACTCGGTCACCCGCCCTGGGTCACTTCCTACCAGAGTCTGTGTTGGGATTTCCCATGAGATGTTGGGTCCTCTGTGTTCAGCAGGGCCAGTCGTCTCCAAGGGTTCCTCCAGTTGCCGGGGTGCAGGCAGGCCATGGATGGCTTTGATTCCCGGTGCAGTCAGGGGCTGTGGCTAGCCCTACTCAGAGCTTCCCAGGCAGGTCCTTCCCCTGCGGCCTCCAGCCCAGAATGAGCCAGTCTCCCTCCCTTTATACTACTAGAGCACTTGGAGCATGCCAGTCTTGCCAGGGAGGTGGGACTTCCGCTGTCAATAACATGGGCTTAACCCTGTTTGGGCTAGTGCTGGGTAAGCAGACCCCGTCTCTCACACACACACACACCCTTAAGAAGGACCCCCAGGGGCGGTCCATCTCCCCTTCCTCCCCTCCCTGTCTAGAAAAGAAATCTGCGTTAGCGTGAGTCTTACCCGGATGATGAAACATGTGGAAGTTGTATGGTTGGAGTGACAGGTACCAGCGCATGATTCAGGGGTTCGCGTCCTTCATGCTGTGTATCCACCTGAGGGGGGCATGGTCAGTGATCAATTTGAAGGTGTTCCCCAGGAGATAATAGCGCAGGGTGTCAATAGTCCATTTCACGGCCAGGGCCTCTTTCTCTATCGTTGAGTAGTGTTGTTCTTGAGGAAATAATTTGACTCCAGTACAGTACTGGGTGTTCCTCCCCTTCCAGTTCTTGGGAGATTACGGCCCCTAAGCCTACCTCTGAAGCATCCATTTGGAGTATGAATTCCTTTGAAAAATCGGGGTGTCGCAGAACCAGTTCCCGTGTGAGCCGTTCTTTCAGAGTCCTAAAGGCCTTGTCGCACGGTCAGACCACTGTACCTGTCCTGGCTGAGAATTCTTTGTCAGGTCTGAAAGGGGGGCAGCTATGGATGCGAAGTCTGTTACAAAGCCGTGATAGTACCCGGCCAGTCCCAAAAACTGGCGCACCTGTTTCTTCATCTTGGGCATGGGCGTATCCATAAGGGCTTGTACCTTATTGACTAGGGGGCGCATTTCCCTCCCCCTACTACATACCCAAGGTAGGTCACCTCTTCCTGTCCAAGATGGCATTTCACCGGGTTGGCCGTGAGGCCGGCTGCTTTAAGGGCCTGGAGTACCCCAGTGAGGTGTCTGAGGTGGTCCTTCCAGTTGTAATGGTGTGGTTGCTAAGGTATTAAACAGGTTGAGGTCTCTGTATACTGTGACAGACCCAGACCAGTGGGGTACAGGAGTCTGGTAGAGGGCAAATATACTGGTCACTGGATGAGTAGTTTTCTGTTCCCTGAGTGACCAGAGCAGGGGCTGCATTACAGTAATCAGGAACCTGCTAGAACCAGTTAAGGCAGGCAGTCTAATTAGGACACCTGGAGCCAATTAAGAAGAAGCTGCTAGAATCAATTAAGAAATTAGAAATGAAATAGAAATTAATGGAGATATCCCATTAAGGGATCTTGAAAGGTCATCGAGTCCAGCCCCCTGCCTTCACTAGGCAGGACCAAGTACTGATTTTGCCCCAGATCCCCAAGTGGCCCCCTCAAGGATTGAACTCACAACCCTGGGTTTAGCAGGCCAATGCTCAAACCACTGAGCTATCCCTCCCCCCCAAGGCAGGCTAATCAGGGCACCTGGGTTTTAAAAAGGAGCTCACTTCAGTTTGTGGTGCAAGTGTGAGGAGCTGGGAGCAAGAGGCACAAGGAGCTGAGAGTGAGAGGGTGTGCTGCTGGAGGACTGAGGAGCACAAGCATCATCAGACACCAGGAGGAAGGTCCTGTGGTAAGAATAAGGAAGGTGTTTGGAGGAGGCCATGGGAAAGTAGCCCAGGGAGTTGTAGCTGTCATGCAGCTGTTACAGGAGGCGCTATGGACAGCTGCAGTCCACAGGGCCCTGGGCTGAAACCCGGAGTAGAGGGCAGGCCCAGGTTCCCCCCAAACCTCCCAATTGACCTGGACTATGGGTTCTTCCAGAGGGGAATGTCTCTGGGCTGTTCCCCAACCCACATGGTGAATCTCTGAGGCAAGAAAATCCGCCAATAAGTGCAGGACCCACCAAGATAGAGGAGGAACTTTGTCACACTGATGTCAGAAGTGGGATCTCGGGGTGTACAGCGTGGTGGAAGAAGGAGGGTGATTTAAAACAACAACCACCAAACAAACAAAAAGGGAGAGGGTTTATTTTTTTTCACCACAATGGATGACGTAGTGCGGGCACTGATACAAGCTACGGCAGCCCAGCAGGAGGTTACCCGTGTCCAGGCAGCTGCCCAGTAGGAGGCAGTGCGGCTGCAGCAAGAGACTAATCGCCTGCTGATGGACCAGGCTGCTCAAGACCGAGCTATGTTGTGGGAACTGGTAAACCAGGTAAAGTCCCTTACAGAGCTGAATCACGGCCATTATGGGAAGCAGCTCATACGGGCCAGCCATTGGCTGCAGAAAATGACACTGGAGGATGCTGTAGAGGCATACCTTCTGGCCTTTGAGAGGACAGCCCTACGGGAGGCCTGGTCTCGAGATCAGTGGTCTGGCATCCTTGCCCCATTCCTGTGTGGGGAGGCCCAGAAGGCCTACCATGATCTGCCTGAAGAGGCTGCAGCAGACTACCCCCAGCTGAAAGCAGAGATCCTGGCCAGATCTGGGATAACGACAGCAGTGCAGGCCCAGCAGTATCATGGTTGGAGGTACCAGGAAGACACAACCCTGCAGTCCCAATTGTATGACCTCATCCATCTCGCACGAAAGTGATTGCAAACAGAGTCCCAGAGTCCAGAAGAGATACTAGTGGTTCTGGTCATCGACCGATACATGAGGGGACTACCACCTGACCTTTGTGCCTGGGTAAGCCAGAACGAACCCTCCACCTATGACGAGGTTGTCGCTCTGATAGAGAGGCGAAGGACAGCGAGGGAGCTGACCCGACCAGTTAAGGAAGAGGCACCCCGGGTTAAACTAGCAGCACCAAGCACTAAAGTTCGGGTGACTTGGCCACCAGGAGGGCCCAGGTGGAAAAAGAGAGAGGCTGAAGGCCCATCAGAGGCCACAAAGACTCGGAGCACAGAGAGAAGAGGATCGTGATGTTAGACTGCCCAAACCAAGAGACTGGGGAATGCTTAGGGCTCCATACAGATGTTATGCCTGCAGGGAGTGGGGACACAACTGCACAGTGTCCCAATGCTGAGGAGCCTATGCAGTGTAACCTGGGGAACTGGGCAGATCCATGCTCCTTAATCCACCTTGTGGGGGTCTCACTAACCCCACATATGTATACCAGACCAGTGAAACTAAATGGGGTAGGGACCATGGCACTGGTTGATTTGGGGAGTGCTATCACGCTTATCTCAGGGAAGCTCATGAAGCGTAGTCAGCTGCTGCAGGCTAAACGTATGGGATAACATGTGTCCATGGGACGGTTAGTTACTACCCCATCCCCAGTAAAAATCGAGATCCAAGGGAACACTACTGAGGTAGCAGCAGGTGTAGTCCCTAAACTCCCATACCTGGTGCTCATAGGGAGGGACTTCCCAGGGTTTGGAAACTTACTCCCAGTAGGGGGATTGGAGAAAGATGGGGACCCTTAAAATTGGTGAGGCATCCACAGCAGACTGTCAACCCCCAATCTTCTCTGAAATATCCCCAGATTTGTTCTCTACTCCCAGACAGAGTAGAAAGACAAAAAGGAAAAGAAGGGCAGCTAAGGCCTTGGGAACGTGAATACTCACCCAAAGCCAGAGGGTCGCTCTTGTAGGTAGGTGGAGCTGAAAAGGAGGCTACGCAGGAGGGAGAAGCAC